CCTGTTTTCCATTGTAAACTACTAGTTAGATTATGTGTTAATTGATAATTTATTGAAAAAATAAACCCAGATGTAACTAGAGTTTTACGACTCATAATAAAACTAAATGTTGTATGAACATTTGCTTGACTAAACTAACGAAAAAATTATATTAAACTTATGAAAATTATCAATTTTATGTACCTACAGTTTTTGTGTTATACGACGAAAATAATGAAATCCTATATAAGGACGTTGACCATAAGTTAAATCAATCTAAAAACATGTTTTTTTCATAAAGAAAAATATAAAAAAATAATTAATAAATTTTCTTACACGAAACCAAGATAAATCTGAAAGAATACGTCGAAATGAAGTTGTTAATGATCCTATACCACGTCCATTACGTATTGTTGCAACAGCATTTATTGTTGCTGTATCTTGTCTTGTTAATGGAATATCAATGCTTTGTTCAACAGTAAATTCTGTTGTTTCAATTTTTGGTAAAATATTACTTATAGAAAATAAAACAAAACAAAAAAAAAGTCAGATTGATTTTAAAATCTAATTAATATATAATTACTTATTATCATCGATTGAATTTATTTGATTAAATATATCAGTTAAATTTATTGTCGCATGTATAGATGCCTATAAATTAAATAAATATTAACGAAACAAAAAAAATATATATATATATATATATTTTAATTTTGCAAATAAACAAACATTTGGATTTGTTATTTGATTAAAACGTTTTTCTTCACGTTCTTTGGCAAGACGTTCATATTCATCAAGAATTTCACGAGCTGTTCTTGTTCGAGTTATTATCTATAAATAATTAAATTTTAAATAATCTATTATAAGATATTTTTTTTCATTTCCTTACTTCCCATCCTTCAGCTTTTAAACCTTTCATTCCAACAACATCATATATAGCACGTTTTTGCGGATCATTTAATATATCATAAGCATTTTTAACTTGAATAAATAAATCCACAGCTAATTGTTTATTACGTGAATCTGTATGTTTATCAGGATGATAAAGAAGTGTTAATCGACGATAAGCTTGTTGAATTGTTGTTGTATCTGCCTAAAAGATTTTTTTTTTCTTATACACTAAAAAAGATATTCGATATTGTCATACATCTTTACTAATATGTAATATAGCATATAAATCACGTTCAGAATCATTTCGATCAAGATCATTCGTGAAGAAATTCGATGAAGAATCGTCATTATTGGATGCCATGTACTTTGTACAAAAAAAAGCAAAACAACAAAATGTACTCCATGAATATTCTTGTGTAATAGATGTGAGATTCGTTAATTAGATGTACCAGTGGAAGAATCATGTTGTTATTAAGATGGACGAAAAAAATATGAACAATAGATGTCGATATCGTACATGATAAAATGTATTATAATTGTGTTTATCAGTGTCATGATAAGATATACACATGAAATAGAAACCAAAATAAATATCGACAAGTACATTGTGTTTCAAGTGAACTTAAGAATTTTTGTGTTCACTCTAATGTTGATAATATCCATGAATGTTTATTATTTTATTATTCAAGATATATTTATTGTTATATTCAAATTTTTATTGTCTGCTAGGGAATATTTTTTATCTCTTCTTTCTTATTTATTTCCATTTATAATAAATTATATTTCAGTGTTAAATATACACAAACTCTTTGATTTCATATATAACCACGAAAACGTTTACGAATGAAAAAAAAAATGACTTCGAATCGGTGCTGTCGTCAGTGTGTTAGAATTCGAGAGCGATCGATGATTTCAGAGAAGAATTGAAAATTTGTGAATTTTAGGAGAGAAAACATGACTTTTTCTAAAGTACTGAGTACAGTACGTCATCAATATTCTTCATATTACTATAATGTAGTAATCAGAAATTTGACAATGAGAAGTCCTAACATGGTTAAGATCTCAAGTTCGAGGGACTCAGATGACCAGGGCTAGGGAGACTTATGTTAGAGTTTAGCTAGCGCAGCTTTGATTGTTGGACGTTGGAAGTTGAGTCAAGCTTTGTTCCGCTATTACATCATTAGATAAAAAACGTACAAAATGTCTCAAGTATTGAGGAAGGAAACCTCTTTTACCGATCACGATTTCTCTTACTTCAAATTGCGCTGTAATCAGGGTTGTCGACTAGGAAGGAGCTGGTAGGAGTTTTTCTGTTTTCTTTTAGAACCTCGTGAGAAATCGTGACAGAAAGGGAATTTTAGTAGTTTTAGCTTTGGTTCTGATAAATATTCATACGAAGATAAAATATCATAGAAAGTCGATGATTTCAACATCTTCTGTCGAATTTTCAACACCTTCCACCCTAAAAAATAATCAGAAACTCTGGCAGTAAATAAC